CATGTGTCATTCAGCCAACTTCAGCTCTATTATGGATAATTTCAAAGCTCAGAACAGCCTGATGCCAGTCAAGACAGTTTTTCAGTCTGTGATATAGGCCCCTGGAATTGTCTGTTGAACTAAAGTGGCCCTCTAACTAAAATGTTTAGACACCCCTTAAGTAATCAATCTTTACAGTTGTTGTGGGTTTTAGGCCCTGTTTATACTGAGACGCTGCGCAGACGTTTCCAGGCTATTAACAGAAACGACCTGGCTCCTAATGCAAATTTCTCAGTGTTCACATGAGGTTGAAAAACGATGTAATTCTAGCGCCCGGCCAGTAGTGGGCAGAGAAACTTAACAACACTCACACGACCCCCAGCCCCGTGCCCAGCCCCCCTCTCGGCAGTGTACTCACTTCCTGTGCCAGACCCTCAGGACGCACCAGCATCATTCTGCATTTTAACAGCAGCTGTGAACATGGGAACTAAACCTAGAGCTTCGCGTGGTCTCGTTTGGACGAACGAAGGTGTAGAATTATCCTCTGTCCCGCGCTGGAATCCCACGAAGCTAGTTAGTTTACCGGCCACCATTATTGTTTATGTTTGTTCTCCGCTACTGCGCATGTCCAAATTTACGTGCGGGGAGCAGTGCGGAGGCGGGGGTCAGAGCAGAGGGGGATTTCACACCTTTTTCCCTCTCGCGGGTGTGAAAGAGAGCCCCCGCTGTGCAGCGTTTCTGAGTTGTCCCACTCTGCAGGCTGGATCTGAACACTTACGTTTTCACCCCCCTGAAACACGGTCTTCGTATGAACGGTTGGTAGCAACCGACATCCAACTATATCGTTTTACTGCCACATTGTCTCCGTGTAAACTCAGCCTTGGTCTCCGCCGATTATAGAAACCGGCGCAACAGGAGAAAACCTAAGTAGACACGTGGAGAACATGCAAACTCCACACAGAAAGGTCTGGAGGTGGAATCGAACCCAGGACCTGTTTACTGGAAATCATTGAAGCTTCTTAAAGCTGGGGTTTGTCCTAATAGAAAGAGTTTTATGTTGAAAACTAATAACACAACCACATATTCAGTTTTAATATTATAATAAAATGTGTGATATTTTGCATGATTATAAGATCACTGTGAGTCGGCTGTGGGCTGATTGGCTGGAGTGAGAGCGGTCTTCCCTGTTTGCCTATGTCTGAAAAAGCTGATCTAAAGATGTGACAGAGGCCAGAGCTTAAATGAAGAAAGTTAATTATGTCTTCCTTATGCTTAAGGCTTAGTAGGTTCTTTTAATATGGCAAATAGTGTAAAGAAGACATTTTTGGCAGTGGACCCGCGTGATGGTGTGACGTGTCTCTTATCAGCTTTTGTTTTTGGATGCGGGATTGGGAAGATCCATCAGTCTGACCCCGCCCCTCACCTCGCTGTGGTCTCTGGAGAAGTGAATCCCGAGATTGAGCGAAGGTAAAAGCCCACTCGTCTCTGTTGATAATGCGTGCATCCCGCTTCCTCATTTCAATCGCCTCTCATGTCCGACTTTTGTATTTATGTGCATTGTCCGGAAAAAAACAAAAAACCCTCTCCAGAGACCACAGTGTGATGGGGGGGTTGGACATTTAAAGCTGCACTAACTGACTTTATTTTTGTATTAATTACGAAAGTGCTATCCATGTCCATGTAGTGCATTGGGATATACGTCCTTTTGAAGAAAAAGTAGCGCAGATTTGTGCTGGCGTGACATTATATTTTCGATCGAGTTTTGATGAAACAAGGAAGAGAATGTTTTTCGGGACCAGATTGTGACCAATCACAGCGCACCACTAGCCCTCACTTTCTTGAGAAATCTACAGGTCTCTGGTTAGCACAGACAGCTGAGTTAGCACAACAAGCGGCGGAGCTAACCTGAAGCTTCCTTGTCTTCGTCACCGGTTACTGCTTACTCAGCGAAACATCCATCCAATAGTAAGTCCCGTTCCTCCGCGCTTCCCGGTTCTATCATTCTATAGTCACGCCATCCACGTTCAAATGTACGATACATGATTCTATCCATATTGGGGGACGCTAGCTCCGTAAACAACAGTGGGTGTGCGGTAGTGGGGGCGATTGCTTCATGGGTGCAGGGAGGGGAGGAGAAAGAGCGAGGCCAGCGAGTCCGCTGCTTCAAAATCCCAAAGTCAGTTAGTGCAGCTTTAAACATGTCAGGTAGTTTACTAGCACTAGCTCATTGTCGAGAACAAAACTGTTTCGAACCAGGAACTAGTTTTTGTCATCAAGCACCGTGTCTAGTGGCATTCTAGGATGGGTAAAATGCAGAAGACAAAATTCCCAAGTGGGAGAAATAAAGTGCACATTCACACTTACATTTAAATCAATCTGAATATTTATTTAATGTCCAGAACTCCCTTGAACAAGAGATTCTGAAGCTCAATGGGATAAGGAATAAGGGGTAGGGTTTTATATATTTCATAAAAGTGAATGTTTTGAATTGTTCAGCTGAGAAGATGAGTGCCCTGAATTTACATTTTGAACATTCTGACAAAAGAAATCTAAGAAACAGCTAAAAAAATAAAAAAAATAAGCCAAAAAGCCAAAAACGTTAAAACAACACATCAAAGCTTTTCTCGTCGTTGTCAAAACAAACAAAAAATCAACAAAATGATTTGCCAAAAGAAGAGTTTACACGTTCAACTGTTTCTTTTTGTGCAAAAGCAACACTGGTTAGCTTCCTGCAGGCTCATCTGTTAAGGTCAATCACACTGAGGTTAAAAATAAGTCTCGTCCGTCCCTTTTTCCCTACTAACTGGAAGCGAGCGATTAATTGGTTTCAGAAAATGTACGTACAATATTTCACAAAGCATTCCTAGTGGCACCATATGTCACCATGGTGCAAGCTGATGATAATTATACGTAAGGCACATATCAACAGTGAAACAAATCCCATGACGTAAATGACATCTGTGTTTCTCCAGTGAAATGCCTTGTACTAAGTCTTTTTAAATGTAAACTAAACCTAAACGTTCGGTATCCAATATACGTTGATCTGACGAATGGATACAATCTCTGCAGTCGTATCTACATGCCATAAATGTCAACATCTCCCCGTTAAGTATGATGAATAAAACAAAAGCAACAGTCGTCTCTCTCTATAGCTTCTGAAATTGGTACTATTACTCAGGTAAAATAATAAACATGGCAAGTGTGTGGTGAGACCTGTAAACGGTCGCAGTAATGTCATAGCTTTTCCGAACATGCGGTGTAATAAAAGCTCCATAATTCTAACGCAACTGGAAGTGGGGGCACATGGTTTAGCAGTCCGCGCTTATTTTTGGCCCGTATTTAGGCCATCGCTTATTAATTCCACTTCATTATTTTTACATTTGACGTTTCTCCCGGAATGACCATTAAAAAAAAATCAATCTTCTGTTCGTCTGTCCTACTTCCTCTGTTCTCTGAAGACGTGTCTAGCAGCTTTCTGTCTCTCTTCTTTTTCCTTAAAGCACTCTAGTCCAATCATTCACTTCATTGTCAAAGGCTATCTGTCATACTGTAGTACAATTTCTGAGACGGTTCGGAATGTGAACAGTAGATAAAAATAACTGGGCCGGAGAGAAGTTGGGTGCCTTTTGGAGACAATGGGAACATCAGATGGTTCAAGAGTTTGCATATGTGTTGGAAAAGATGCGTGTGTGTGTGCGTGTGTGTGACTGGACAGTATGGAGGCTCTGGGTTGGCTGCATCTAATTGAATGCTCATTGGTGTAATTGAACGCTCTCAGCGCTGCAGCTCGTGGTGTTAAAGACTGGGACCAGATGTCATTCAGCTGTCTCACATCTCCTGCCAATCACTAATGCGCGCTCATGCTAGCTTCCCATCTCCCTCATTCCCCCTCTCTCTCCTTTCACAGATGGAGGACCAACAGATCTCAAGCTTCAGACAGTGCTACTCGCCCCCGCGTCCAAATCACAGCTCATTTATTCACGCCACTGCGAAGGAAGAAATGTGTGCTTTGGAGCTAAGACTGGGCACAAATTCTCAAGCGTGAAAGAGAGATAGAGGAAGAGAAAAAAAGAAAAAAAAACTCCCAATAAGAATATCTTTTGTTGCCAGGCAGATTTTCTAGTATCATCTGCCTGAACAATTAAGAGCTTGTGCGGCATAGGCGAGAACGGAGGGAGGAAAACAGCAAGTGACATCAAGGAAGAGATGAGATAAAGGAAAGGTGCAACATTACAGGAAGGTGTAGGAGTGACTGTGAAAACGAGCTTAAAATAAACTGTGGCAACAAAGGCGCACACTCAAAAATCAAGACAGAATTAGGGGGTTCAAAAACAAAACTGTCAAAAGCCTTGGAATAATAATAACTTAAAAAAACACACCCGTATAATATGTTTGAATGATAACAAAAATAGCAATTACAAATCATTCCCATATGCACCAAAGCACAGTTTTCACTTCAGACACGTCATGGTCCGGTGAATATCTGTAATCTTGCAAAAAAAAAAATACCACAACTTTCATACTTAACTTCAACCCTCTGTGCAATTCTCAAAGTCGCTTGAATCAATAAATGTATCAATACAAAGTGATCTCGCTAAACATCAGATCGAGATTCCAACAATGCTCTTTTCCTCAAACAGTAATATTGAAATCTTGACACAAAAAGAGCAATAGGGGGCGCCAGTCTGCAGTGCAAGTGCTTCGGTAGCGCCACCACTGAAGCCATTTTCTCCGGTCCTTTGTCTTTGTGGGCTGCATCCATCCCTGACAAAGGCCTAGTACCAGCTACTGTTGCACGCCCAGGGCACAACTGGGGTCTGGCCTCATTAAAAGATCAAGACAAATCTTAGCAACACTTAATAAATCTGCAGGGCAAAGATCTCTCTTTACTCCGCCACACAAGTTCATCTGTTATGCTCTTTGGTCCTCTTTTAGAAGTCTGAAGAAAATAGAAGAAACATGGGGCCGCAACAAAGAGTCTGTGGAGTGGAGGGAAAAGTTTATTATTGATCTGGACTCACCGGCCATCTGCTGGATCCCGCTGAAGGCTCCAAGGTTTCCAGAAGAGGTGGCCTGCTGAAGCAACTGTGCACCAGGCAGAGGAGAGAAGAGAGACGGCATGACATAGATGCATACTCAGCAGTGAATGCATGTTTGTACAAGGCTACGCACAGAAGCTAACAATGTAATGAGCAATTTAGCAATTCACTTTTTGCATCAGCGCTCTATGAGTAAATGAGCTGCTAATACAGTCTGATCTCTTCTCTAAGCAAGCACTGTTTATATTCTGTCATGATTCTCCAAGACAAGTTGAGCATGAAAGCTCTAATCTAGCCCACTAATTAGATTCCACAACAAAAGTGAAATACTGATGCTGTCAAATATGGGCTCTTCAAAGACTAAAATTAACCGCAAATTAACATCTTGTCATTACGGCATGGATCATTTTACTCCCAAGAATAACCCTTATTTCTCTTGTTAGAAATACAAGTGAGAGGTGGCAAGGCACAGGGCATAACCTTAGCATGGTTATGGGTTAGCATGGTGGATGGGTTTTGTATGAGGCAAAGTCAGACATTTTTGACAAGTTTCTGGAATCGATGCATATTACATGAGTTCTAACGTTGGAACTCTATTATCCTTGTTGTGGGTCTAATCATGTTGTTGTATGAGTGCCGCAGAGCTGGGTGGTGGGTGTACTCCTCTTACAGCCAGGTACTGTGGAGTGAGGCCCCCCAGGCCCGTCAGACTGCCCCAGGTGGTGGCACTGTTGAGCTGCTGCATCTGCTGTGCCAGCTGCTGCTGCAGACGCCGCTGCTCCTTGTCCTTCTGTGTGTCTGCAAACTTCACCACTATGGGAGAGGAGCAGCCCTGTAAGCGGCCACAACAAAATATTAATACCAGTGGGACTACATAGAAAAGAGAATTACGGCGTCGCAAAATACAATCAAGAATGAGGAGACAGACATGTGTAAAACGGTGAAAGAAATTCAGCCTTTAAGAAACATAAAAAACTTCACTCGAGGGAGATTTAGAGGAGAAAATAGTATTCTAAATTAAAAGCGCCTTGTCACTAGGACTCTCACAGGAAGTGCCACACTAAAGCCAAAGGGTTTTCTTCTCTACCCCACAAGGGCTTAGTTATCTCTGAGTCCAGAATGGTTCCAACTGAAACAGATTTCCTGAGTTCACCAACTATTTCATCATCCCATCAGAACAGAGACTTTCTGTGTGTCTCTATGCAGAGCGTGGTAAAGGAAGAGCATTTGGGATGACCGATGGAAAGGTCAAGGGAGGCAGATGTAGCGATGCAGACAATCACCAAAGTGTGAATAATTATGGCTCTTTCAATCCTTCAACTCTGTGATTTTTCTGGTATAGCGACATCCAGCACAACAACTGTAACATGAAAGACGACATGAAGAACAATGGGGCTCGGGACGGAGTGTCTGTGTGGCCACGTCTCAGTCTGTCACACCACCGCTCCTCCACAATCAAAGTCTAACCAGGGGCAAATCCCTCTGAAACAAAGGCGATCTGCTCACATGGAATAAAGGCTTTTGATTGAAAAATGTTTGAAGTGCATTGGGCAGCCGCTGAAAGAGATGAAATAACGTATATGAAGTTAATTGTATACAAATATCATGTTGATTTTACAATTATGGAGATAAAAAATAAAACAAGCTTCCTTAGTTACGACTTTTAAAACCAAAACCAATCTTTATAGAAAAAATACTATGCCTTATATTTGGCCATTACACATAATAATGAAACTCTTTGTTATTTCATGTTTTAGAAAGGGAAATAATATATATGTAAGGTAAATTTAAATGTTTACTCATTTTAAACAGTATTCATTTTTGACTATGGGACAATATTTCTGTTTTCAAAATTTCTGTTTTGCAGCAAGGGGGAACATGGGTAGGTCTAAACTCTGCTTTTCTCTAGAAACGTTCACTCTCTCTTCACAGTTAGAAGTATCAGACATCCACTATAAGAAATAGTTCCCAGTTTATAGAAACACATTTTATAAATACGGAAGTAAAGTGGAGTACACACACACACACACAGGCACACCATGCCGCACAAACATACACACGCTCACTCACACACGCACACACACATTATCTATATTATTAACCAAATAATCTGGATATCTCTGGGGGTGAATATAAAAAGCATGGTCTGTATGGGGCATACAGCACCTGAGCTCTGTTGCCAGAACTAATTATCATTTTGAATTAAGTGAATTCATTCAGAGCCATTAAGCACACTTCCCAGCATGCACCATGTCACAGCTCAAACCTGAGTGGCTGCTTCCGTCTGTTTTCAAGTGATTTTGATGAAAACTAACGATTAATTTGCAATTAACTAAAAGAACAATGAGGATTTTCTTGAATCATCAATCATGCAGACATTCAAAATGTCACACAGAAAAGTTTCCCAAAGTAAGCCACAGTCAGTAATATTTCAGTGACCTATTAAAAATACAATCTGCTTTTAAGAGCGTTTCACCATTGTATAACTGCTTTCCTTCACATTTTCTCACTGGAAATATATTATTGATGTTTCATGTTTGGGCCATTTATATTGTCCTGAATGCAAAACATCACAGCTGCAGCTAACGTCCATGTTGAGGGCGACTATGTGGGAAAGGGGCGGATACATGTGGCAGACTCATTTCAATATTGAGTAGTTTGTCGACAGTAAATGTCTGTTCCAAAGATAAGTCCATGTTACATTAAACAACATGTTTTCCGCAGCAGACAGATTATTTTTGTATTTATTTGATATGGACTCAACAGTCACATTTGACAGCCCAGACAGCGGCTCCGTTGGTAGAGCATTGACCTTTGAGCCTGAAGGTCCTGGGTTCGAGCCCACTGCGAGACCTTCTCCACCGACTCCACTGATGTCTGCTGCCAATGTGTCCTTGGGCAAGACACTTAACCCACTTTGCCTATAAGGAGCGCGGAGGTGATGTTTGCTGCATGCCTTGATGTGTGTATGTGTATTCATCTAACCTAAATTTCCCCACTGTGTGACAAATAGAGAACCTTCTTCTAGTCTTAAAGCAAGACCATAGTAATTTTCAACTCTTGTCCATAGGAGGCTTTTAGGTCAAAGCTTGAAAAGAATGATCTCGTGTGAAGATCATTCTCTTCTCCTCAACACTGAAAACACTAAAGACATCATCTCTGTACAGCATGACCCTCTTGTAATTGGTGGCAGGCAGATTGAACTCAAGTAAGTATTTGGGAATGTACAGAGACAGCAAGTTAAAAGGAACAGACCGCATGGAACATTTCTGTGAAAGACTGGCCCAGAGACTGTACTGTTTGAAGAGGCTGATGTTTTTTGGTGTCATCTTAAAATAGCGGTCACCTTTCATAATTCAGAGCTTGGGAGCTTGGTGACAGATAAAGGCAAACTTCATAATACAGTATCATTAATGCTGCAGTGATAATCAGTGGCTGTAATGTCCAACCCTCACTTCAGGCTATTTTTGAAGAGAAGCACTTTTAGGTTCCAAGGAAAAATCTCCCAACGGCTCAGAATGTGCTTTGTTTTCTGCATTTTACCTTCAGGCAGATGTTTTAGAGCCATAAAATGCTAAACAGACAGCTACAAGTTCTCTTTTGTCCCAAGAACAGTGGGACTTTTGAATAAACACACTGTGCACTTATCCTGGGTTATGTGATTGCTTATTTTATTACCCAATTGTCCTGTTTATGAAATACATATCTGTTGATCATGTCCCATTTCAGAGTGTTTTTATGTGGACTACTTATTCGTCATGCACCATGAATTGTGACATTTTTCTCATTGTCGTCGTACCCTGAGGTTGGGTCTTTTTAATGATGTGTGGGCAATGCATGTTGACTTTCACCGGAGTCGGATGCAGCGGACGGTAAGAGATGCACTGATATTTTGTTTTTTGTTGATTCCTGCTGCCAATGTAGCAATGCAGCTTATGACAAATCTCCCCTCAGGACAATAAAGTTATGTTATTTTATTAGATTAGATTAGATTAGATTCAACTTTATTGTCATTCCAAGTCAGAACAATGCAACAAAATGCAATTTAACGTCCAACCAGTAGTGCAATAGGGCAAGTTTAGGAAAATATTCACAACACAGATACATATTTTTGCATATATGAGAGACTGTACAAGCTGCTATTGCGAGTAAATACATTAATTATATTGCATTATATTTTTGTGCATCCAATGGGCTCAAATTTAATGTCTCAGAAACTTTTGAGCAAGTATCAATACATAAAACATATTTGTGATCACTAGTCGAGAAGATAGACAATTTGACTATCATCCAATTGCTTGTTGAGGATAAATTCAAGTTTCTGAATCTATTTTGGATGCAGCCTCAGTTTTTTTTTCTACGACCACAGCTTGAAACACAGTGTAATCCTGTAACGCAGGTACTAAAGCCCTGGGCATTATACGCAAAGACCTGTTTTTTTTTTGGGGGGGGGGGGCTGGGGGGGGAGGGACAACCGTTGAACAACATCCCCCAGAGTACGTAGATGTGAGGTTTGTCTGTGTGCAGCAGTGATGTATGTGTGAGCAGAGCCTCTAGGATTTCACAATTATTATCACAACTCTCAGTAGCTCCTCGAGATATTGCTCATCTGCAAGCCTCTCAGCTTTCAAGTGCAATACATCCACATGCAATGCACAATTGGGGATAAATTATGTCTAGCTGTTTTAATCTAGAGTGATGAGGATTTTGCATTTAGGCCAAAAAGTGTTATCTTGGTCTCATCGAACCACAGCATCTGGGACACACTGACAGAAGCGAGGCAACTAATCAGTGCCATCGGCCCCTCTGACCACCACTGATCACACACACACACATACGTAGCCTGCCCTACTTTGCTTCTTTACATGTGAAGAGTATGATTACTTTTTTGAGGTATTGTAAATATCTACAGGCTCATATCAAATATTTCTTATTTACATCCATCCATCCATCTCTGCGTCGTCGTACACATAGCACCAGCCCCTCACTGATCTTCCTGTAGGTGGGGCCACAGGAGCCTTGATCTTTCAGCGGGGGCTTCTGGCAAAGTGGGGTTAAGTGTCTTGCCCAAGGACAGCAGTCATCAGTGGGAGTCGTGAAGTAGGTCTTGTGGTGGGCTCGAACCCACGACCTTCAGGCTCTAAGGCCAATGCTCTACCAACTCAGCCACTGTCGCCCCTATTCTTATTTACTGTACAAACCTTTTAATTCCTCCGACCCGGCAACAGATCAAGCGGAAGACAATGGATGGGTGGATGTACCTTATTAATCTGCACAACCTTCTCGCCGCTCTTTGTTTAAAACTGAGCTGTCTCCCATTATGCTCCTTGTAAATAGAATGCTCTGTAATGACAAACCTGACACAGAGCCCCGTTTTAAAGAATACACTTAAGTCCCATTCATTAAAACTCTTTCCAGTGGACTTTTTTAATGCGTCTCTAAAATATTCTTTTGCGATTTGACGCAAGATCTTTCCTGCTGTTTTGCTGCAGATTGTCGTTGGGAAATGTGCTATACAAATAATATCTTCCACCTCTATTTACTCCTCATGCAGTCATTCCTCTCTCCGTCTGCACACTGCTGACAGATAGAGCAGAGGAGACCAAGAAAGAATTGCATTTGGGCAAAGTGTCAGTGTAGGACCTTACATCTACTCTCGATTCCCCCCAAGACACCAGACACTCCGCTAAATATCTCATTACTCCGGCTGACATGCACCGAGGTGGAGGAAGCGTGCCCCTGAATGAGAGGCCAGCCCTGGACTGCGCTCGGGGCCTCTGATGGCTCTCTATGGGGAGAAGACTCCAAACATAAAACCTTTATTAGCGTCCT